TCTTTTTATCCTTATCAAACTATAAGACAATAAATCAGTGATGCTTCAAATCCATCTAACCCTTGGGAAGCTGGGGCAGGAAGACTAAGATCTCAAGGCCTGGGCTACATAGCAAGATCCTATCTCAAAATTAAAAACTCAGCATTAACATCACATAAAACAATACTAAATTGGTACCTAAATGTATATTATTAAAGGTTAAAAGGTAATATGAAACAATGACATAAATCCATAGTATATTCACCTTACAAAAAAATACAGCTTCAATAGTAGATGAAGACTTTACAGAAAAATAAAATTTGTTGACTAAGACATAGCTCAGTAATAGAGCACCTGGCTATGATACACAAGGTCCTGCATTGGATCTCCAGAACTACAAGAAAACAGGAGCAAGATTTTCTGTTTACTTATTAAACATCACATATCACTTACAAAATACAGAGACACTCTTGAAGTGTTTGGCAGATATTGAATCTGAACAATTCAATTTCATCTTAGAATTTTCAGTTTAGTTTTGGGATACAAAAAATTGTTTTGTAAGATTTTTTAAAAATTGTGTGTATAGTGAGGATGGTATGTACAGGTGAGTTCAGGCACCAGGGAGGTCAAAGAAGGGTCCCTGATCCCTTGGAGCTGGAGTTAGTTACAGGTGAGTGACCTTGCAGCAGGGATGCTGGGGACTGAACCTGGGTCCTCTGCAAAAGCAGCACATGATCTTACCCACTGAGCCATCTCTCTAGCCCCCACCCCTCCAAAAACTTGAAATAAAAGAAACTTAAAGTCGCCGGGCGGTGGTGGCGCACGCCTTTAATCCCAGCACTCGGGAGGCAGAGGCAGGTGGATCTCCATGAGTTCGAGGCCAGGCTAGACCGACAGCCTCCAAAACAATACAGAGAAACCCTGTCTCATAAAACCAAAAAAAAAAAAAAAGAAACTTAAAGTCAGTTCAACTTTATTACTTCAATTAAAGGACTGCATGTACACTAACATAAGGAAAATAGATGCAATTATCCATTAACTGAGAACTTACCAAATAGCAGATGGAACATTTATACTATGTCCTAAAAAATACAAGTGTGGGTAAAAAGTCAAAACTTTTCTCTAGACATAGTGGTACACACCTGTAGCTCCAGCCTTCAGAAGGGCTAAGGCAGGAGGGTTGCCACAAGTTTGAGGCCAGACTGGGTTACAAAGGAAGTTACTTTTTTCTATTGCTATAATAAGAATACAGCCAAGGCGGATTACAGAAGCAATAATTTATTGGGGTGTCAAGTTTCAGAGGGTGAGTCCATGAACATCCTCGGCAGCAGGCAGGCAGGCAAGCATTTCGCATGGGCTGAGAACTCATATCTGTATGCGAAAGTGGGAGCAGCGGCCAGGAGCTGACATCTGCTCCACAAGCATGAGGCAGAGAGAACTAACCTGGAATGACCGGAGCCTTGGAAACCGAAGGCTAGGATCCCCACCCCCACCCCCGCCGGTGACACACCTCCAACAAAGGCCACACCTCCAAATGCTTCTCAAACAGACCACCAACTGGGGACCAAATACTCAAACTTGTAAGCCTGGGGGTGGGAGTGAGGGGCTTTCTCATTGAAACCACCTCACAACACAGGCCTAAAGGAAGGAAGGGAAGAAGGGAAGACAGGGGAAGGGTGAAAAGAAGGGAGAGAACACAGAAAGAAAAAACGAATTCTTAACAGAGCCAAACATTTTTAAACAACTAAATTTATTTTTGGGAGGGAATATAAGTAAGGCATGGGCTTGGGTTCAGTGCTTGCCTAGCATGCATAAGGTCCAGAGTTCCAGCCCCAGAAACACACACACACACACACACACACACACACACACACACACACACACACAGGAGGAGAAGGAGGGAGGGAGGTAAAGAGAGACAGAGAGACAGAGAGGGAGAGAAAGTGACACACACACACACACACACACACACACACACAGAGAGAGAGGGAGGGAGGGAGGGACAGAGAGAGAGAGAGACAGAGGCAGAGAAAGGGAGAGAGAGAAGGACTCCATCATAGCTAACATAATACGTTCTTACAATACACTTATGTTGCATGACAGTAAGCAGATATCTGTATAGAGAGCACTCCAGCAACACCTAGCATATGACTAACTGGGGAAATACATCAAACTCCCAAGATCCTATCAGCAACAAAGAGGAATTACATTTCATGTGTGTGCTACATTTTACCACAGTCTAGTTCTATGAAGATTTAAAATTCAGATATGAGATACTTAGTAACTTTCTGTTAACCAAAACATTTGGTGTGTCACAGTGTAATTCAGTGACAAAATTTACTGGATTCTTAGAAGAAACACCTAAGAAATGCAATTTTAATCATTGTCCTGCAAAAAAATATTTCTGAGACAGTTCTCTATGATAATGAAATTCTAATTAAATATAAAGAAACTCAACCAGAGATGAATTAGATTTGCTTCTCAATTTTCTCAATATGTATATGCCGCATCATTAGGTATGTAAAGGTGTACCTAATCCAAATGTGGAAAATGAGTAAGAAGATAAATATAGTAAGAAGAAGAGGACAAATATATTCACACACTACTGAAAGACAGTAAAATATAATAATGTTGTACACATTAATTTTAATTCTTCAATTTTCTCGACAGTAAGTTTGAAAAACACTATTGAGGTAAGTGACTTTGCCCTTTATCTCCAAACTGAAATTAAGATATTAAAAGGGATGTGGGTTGGAGACATGGCTCAGTGGTTAAGAGCACTGACTGCTCTTCCAGAGGTCTTGAGTTCAATTCCCAGCACCCACATGGCAGCTCTCAGCTGTCTGTAACTACAAGTGTGACACCCTCACACAGATATACATGTCCAAAAAACATCAATGTAAATAAAATAAAATAAAAATGAATAATTTTTAAAAAGATATTAAAAGGGGAAGGGAGAACTGCTTAATAAAAGCCAAATGGAAAAGTACAAATTAGGAAGCATTCCTTTTGAATTCATCTCCAAACACTATTGGATTCTCGTTTTTTAACTGACATTGTGTATGTTTTGACATTATTCTCCCATCACACATTTGAATTCCCATCATAAGTTATTTGCAATTTTAAGACATAAAGTAATCTAAATAAACCCATTTGAATAGCAAAGCACCAATGGGAGCCACACAAACAAGGCCATCTAGGGAAGCCACTTAATAAAATGCAAATGCAGTAGATTATAGGTAAGAATCTGAATGCTGGTTGGAGTGAGGCAGACTACACAGAACTCTGGATGGGATCCATTTATTCCTTCCCCTTCTCTGAGCATTAGTTTCCGTATGTATTACACAGAGACAACACCAGTTGGATTGCAGGAATGGGAAGCTTAACAATAGTACTAGCAAAGAATCTAGAACCCCACGCCAGGTGATTCTGAAATGTACTGCGATTTTAAATACCTGTACTGACCTGGCCAATGGGTAATAGGTATCGCTGTCCCCGCCACGGCCCTGCCTTTGCTTCCCTTTGCCTTTTCAAGTCAGTTTATAACTTTTAAGCCCAAGTTAAGTATCATGGAAATAAGTTTATGGCATTATGCTACATTAATTCTATGGATTATTTTATTTATTCCCCACGACCCTTGTGGCTATCAAGCGGAAGCTATTATTAATCTTTAAAAAATAGATTAGGAAAGCTAGGCTTCCAAAGATTTAATAATTTGCCTAACTAAAGTTGCATACCTAATAAAAACTGCTATCAGACTACACATGCTTACCAACTCTGAAACACTTAAAAAAAACACGAAAAACTAACAAAAACACCCACTTTCAATTCAACAGCGTCAAGGCAGCACACAGCTAATAGCGTCAGTTGGCCATAGTCACTTTCTTAAACTGATGAGTCAGATATGACAGCAGGTTCTACACCAGAATATTTAAAACGTGTGGGAAAACTCCAAGTTTTACTCATTCTGTGATCTTGCTAAAGAGAAGTGAGCCCATAGCAGTTCACAACTTCTAAGAGTAGTCATTAGCGTTCTCACATGGGCTAAGCAAAACCCTAACCCTGACCCAGACTGGGCCTGCAGGAAAACGCATTTCTTCACTTTAAAGAAAGACCACAGAGAACTCTACGGTGTAGGACTCAGTCCCTCGGTCTAAAGGAGCCTAGGGACGCAAGGGGCTGCTCCGCCCTCCCAGGGCACTCTGCAAGCCTCCCCCAGTTCCGTTCTCCAAACCCAGGGGTGTGGGTGGGAGAGCCTTGCGCAAGGGCGCCGCTAATGTTCCCTAACTCCGTTAAGTCTGGGAGAACCGAGCCTGCAGAGGACAAACAGGGAAGAAAGAGCCTGCAGTGCCTCCCACGGGACAGGGCAGCAGTGTGACAGTGAGTCGCGGTCCGTCCAGGGCCAGCGATTTCATCACTTCTTTCCCAGGGCGCTGATGAGGAATCAAGTGACCCTCTCCGGCTGAGCCCCGAGGAGAAGGAGGGCGGCCTGGCCACCCTGCACTAGCCTGTCTCTCACAGCTGCGCGGGTCGCCGCTCACACTTTGCAGCCCCTCTCGCCCACCAGAGCGGGCAGGTGGAGGAAGGCGAGCTTAACGTCACCGTGACGGCTCCAGGGACCAATCACAGCACGCGGCTCCCTCAGCCAGCCAATCGCAGAGCTCCTGGGCTCCCACAGCTCGGCAGCCCACCTGAACTTCATTCATCCCGCACTCCAGAATCCGGGCCAGGGGGCGGGAGCCCGAGCTGAGGCGCAGCCGCCGCGCCGCGGGACACCTGGGGCGGCGACGGGAAAGTTCGGGAGGAAAAGGGCCACCCAACAGGGAAGTCACTCACCGGCCCGGGAGCGAAGTCACTTGTCCCTGCCCGGGCGACTCGGACTCAATCTGTGCGCGCCAGCATTCCGGGGACCAACCGCCGCCGCCGCCGCAGCTCGCCGCCCAGCGCGGCCGCCAGTTTCGAAGGGGCCAATGGGAGCCGGGGGCGTGGCCTGGAGCCCCGCCCCCGGGGGCTTCCTGCGACGTGCGGGCTGGGCGAGGACTCGGCCGCCGCCGCTGCTGGCCGAAGGACGGGGAGGCTGTAACAGAGCATCCTTCCGTCTGCCTGGTCAGTGGCGGCGACCACCCCTCCTGTCTGTCCCCGTCACGCAGCCAGAGTGTGAAGCCCGCCTCTCAGGGCTGCTTCCGACCCTAGAATCCGCTCCCGCCCGGACAGCGAGCCCCCTGCCCCTTACTCCGGACTGTGCGAGGCGGAGAGGGAGAGGAACCCTGCAGCCACCCTGGATGCCAAAGGAGGATGTTGGCCCTTCCTTCAGGAAACGTGGGGGAAGGGGATTTGGATGTCAGGGCGACGATGTAACCATGTGACGGTTACACTGTAGCGATAGATGCGAGTTAGCTTCCAAAGTGGCTTTTTTTTTTTTTTTTTAATGTGGCTGAAAGCCTGGAGGTCTGTGTTCTGGCCCAGGCCGTTAGGTCCCTGCCCCTTCTGTTAAGTCCTAACACCTCGGCGGTCCGTCTTTCTCCCTCTCTGAAGTGTGTGCTTTGAGCGGAAGCGTGGCCTCTCAGAACAACAAGGCAGCACACGGCTGCTTTCACATGGAACAAATGAAAACAGTCTGCATCTTCAAAGTGTGGGGGAGCGTGGAAACGGAAGTCTGCGAAGGAGCGTGAGGGCCGGAGGTTTGGAAGTGGCTAGGTCTTGAAGGAAGGGCACGAAGCCTTCAGGAGGGCTTGGCAAGGAAGGGGTGTTTCCTAGGCAGAGGGACCAAGAAACGCAGGCTACGGAGGCATGTGAGTGTTCCCGGAGTATTCGTTTTGAATAACCGAAGTTTGGAGCTAGAGAGAGAGCTGTAGCAGCCGTCTGAAGATCGTGCACAGAAGGTAGGCTTACCGATGCTGAGCAATGTTCCTGGAGGCAGATGAGACCACCATAAGGAAGGAATAAGGAGATTTATTTGAGGTTCTTTTTTTTTCCTTGTGGGGAGGTTCATTTTCAAGTTTTTGAATAAGGAACTAGAATAGTTATTAAAAATAAATAAGACTAAAAACTGACAACTCTCCAGAGGGTGGGTGTGAAGGTGTCTAGAAGTAGCTAACACGGTGATTTATTTATCTGGCCTTGGTTGTGTGGCGGCACTCGACATAGGAATACAGGTAAAACGAGCTGTGGTAGGGGACCGGTACGTTTTCTTTGGGTGCATTCAGTTTGCAGTGTGAAACAGACTTGGAAGGAGAGACGCTCCGATGATACTTGAATTGTCTAGAGCGACTTCAGTCCATCTCAGTGGAAGATAAGGACTACAGAACAATTCAACCGTTCCTGCATACTTCTCTGTATCAGGCTCTACCCTAAGCTCCAGGGACCCTGCTCTCCCAGAATTCCGAGTAAGTGGGAAAGGCAGTCATTAAAAATTGACAAACACGGGATAAATGTACTTGATGATATCAGACTGTAGTTAGTTGTTCCTGTTTTTTTTTCTTATTGCAGTTCATCTCATAACTCTGCTGACTACATAGAAATTCACAATCTGTTAAAATCACCCTGTGTTTCCCAGTATTTACATTTAAAACTATGGGGCAACTTTCCTCATTTAGCTGGATTTTAAGTTGATACCTTAAATTGGGTATCAAAATATGTATGCTTCTATAGAAAATCTTAAGGATAACTGTGACTCAGTCCCCAGCAACAATTTTTGACTAATTAATAATAAGTATTGTGCTATACAAATCTTGCTTGATGAGTCAAAGCTTAGCAATGGTTCTTTTATTTTTTTCTTACATGTATGCCTGTGCCTACATATTTGAATACTGTTTAAAAACTGAAACTATGCTCAGTGAGGAATGTAAATGAACATTTCCCCATTACACACTGATCTTAATGTTTTTAAGTCACTTACTGAAACCTTGCTACCTTTTATAGGACTGCTTTGTTCTTATTCCCTTGTTCATTGGGTTACAAGGATGTAGGGCACTTTCGTGGTTGCAAGTGCACCAGAGGCAGGAAACGTGTGCCAATCACTCCTCTCTGCCTGTGTTCCTCCTTGGCTACCTGTGGATTTGGACTCTCAACCTGTATTCCTCATGGTATATGATTTGGGTGAGCAATCCCCCTCTAGACCCTTTGATTTAACTTTCTTCTCTCTCCAGTCACTTAGTTTCCCTTGTTTCATTCACAACTTCACATTCCTAATTACTACTCCATTCCCTAAGCACACTGACCAGCTTACCTACCTTGATTTTAACACTGCAATTAGTAATTGGGGGTTCCATCAAAGAAGCTATAATCTACTTTCCGTGCGTAGGCTGTCTAATTGGTGGTTAGGTTAATAGCCATGTTTTAGAGGTTGTCTCTTTAATTGAAATTGGCATAGCTGTAACATGAAGAAAAAAAAAACTCTAGTTCTCTTCCATCAAATGCCAGTCTATCCATTCTGACTTCCCAGTTTCGAAAGTATGTCCCACTTCAGGAAGCATCATGTTTGGAAGCCTAAATTTTTTAAAATGCACAATTGGAGTTATTTGTCTGACAAAAAAAAAAAAACCTTTTTCAAATATAGGAGATCCTCCAAAAATTCCATTGCCCTTGAAATTAAGTATGATTGTTTTACTGCCCTACAAGGAAGGTTTGTGTTGCTGAAAATGCAGTGTGGTTAATGTGCATTTGGCTTTGAGTTAGTTTCACTACTGAGCTGTCTCTCCTGCCGTTTTGGAACTGTTCTTAATGCTTTGACATCATTAAGTGTCAGCTATGGATTGTGCATTGTGTGAAGTGTTGAGTGAAATCTCTGGGGAACAGAGATCTTGACTTATAATTGAATTATACCTTCAGCAGGTGACCAACTGAGCTCCATCTACATGAAATACAATACTGATTTCTGCTACTATGAGACTGCTATTGATATATATTAATAGATATTTTATGTAAGTAATTAAAATATGACTTGTGGAATATTGTTTTAACTGGGCAAAGATGTATCATATTTGTTTATGCTGCAGAATATTACTTTAACTATGTAAAGGTGTGTTACATTTCTTTGGGCTGTGTTTGTTTAACCATGTAAGGTCATGAATTTATTCCATCTTCCCTGACTAAGGCACCTGAATGACCTGAATGGTCAGTAGCTAGGCAGAGAAAGGCTAGGCAGGGCTGGCGGGCAGAATAAATAGGAAGAGAACTCTAGGCTTGAGAGGAGAGAATGAGGAGATGCCTGGGCCAGCCAGGCCATCTGCAAGCCAGCAAGGCAGGGGAAAAGTGAAAGTAAGATATACAAAAGTTAGAAAAGAAAAAGGTCCTGAGGCAAAGAGCAGATTAATTAAAGTTAAGTTGAAAGACCTAGCCACAAAAAAATGAGCCTAAGTTAGACTGAGCATTCAGAACTAATAATAAGTCTCTGTGTCATGATGTGGGAGCTGGGTGGTAGCACAAAAGAAAAAGCCTGGTACATATGATTCATAGGATAAAAATTGTTATTCATATCTATGTGGTGGGGTAAGTATTGTGCACTCCAATTCATGTCCACCTGGTCCTCAGGGTATGACTTTGTTTGCAAGTATGCTTTGCCCCAAATCTGATTAGTGTTCCTTGTAACAGACAGACAGCACCCCCTGCCCCCCCACCCCTCAGACCCCCCAGCACACATACATGGTTAGAGTTATGCATTCACAAACCAAAGAATGCCAAGAGCCACTATAAGAATCTTGGAGATTCAGGAGAAGATTTTCTTGGAGTCTTTGGAAGAAGCTTGGCTCTGCTGGGACCTTGAATTTAGTTCTCTGGCCTTCAGATCTGTGAAAGAGTAATGTCTGTTGTTTAAAGCTTCCAAACTTATGGTAGTGCAGGAACTCCAGGAGACAACGCCATCTATATCTTAGCAGAGATATGAAGCTAACCACACAGCAAGCACAGCAGCATGAAGATGCGCCCCCCCCCCCAGTCTACTGCTCCATCTCTAAGATGTCACAGATGTTAACAGGGGCTCATGGAGACCGTATTTTCTCTGATTGGCTCGCCATCCAAGTATCATCAAGTTTCCATCGAATTTAGTTACAAGTAATAGAAAGAAAATCTTCAAATTCATTTCAGAAAAACTCAAAAAGGAAATGACATTGTAGTGATACATTATTTATGATTTAGTAAAGCTTGCCTGAAGATTGAGAAAAACAAAGTCAGTCACAAGCCATAGGAGCCAAGCACGCACTTTAATCCCAGCAGCAGAAACTAGGAGGTGGTGGCACACACCTTTACTCCTAGGGCTCAGGATTAAGAGGTAGATGGATCTCTGTGAGTTCAAGACTACCCAGGCTTACACAAGTTTGAATCAGTCTAAAAGAATAACAGAGCTCACGCCCTTAATCCCAGGATTCATGACAAGTATTGAAGGCAAGAACAGAGTCAGTATGAGGCATTCATTCTCCAGCCACGCTGAGGAGAAGCAGCAGTTAGACTTAGTGAAGAGCTCCTTAGTAGATCAGCCCATTCAGCCCCAGCTAGAGGTGAGAGCTAGTGGCCAGCTGCTTTGCTTCCTGATCTTCAGCTTGAACAAAAATATCTGTCTCTAGGTCTTTTATTCATGTAAAACTCTCTAGATTCGTGCAAAGTGTGATCGAGATTTCAAATAACATCACCAGTGTGGTGGTTTGGATAAAAATGCCCCCCATAGGCTCAGATAGTTGAAAGCTTAGTCCCCAGTTGGTGAACTGCTAGGAAGGATTAGGAGGTGTGGCCTCCTTAGACTGGGTGTGTCCTTGTTGGAGAAAGTGTGTTGGGGGGTGACTTTGAGGCCAGGTTTCTCTCTCTCTCTCTCTCTCTCTCTCTCTCTCTCTCTCTCTCTCTCTCTCTCTCTCTCTCTCTCTCTCTCTCTCTCTCCCTTTCTTTCTGTGAAACATCAACTCCAAACTCCATTGGCTTCTGAAAAAAGAACGAAAGAAAAACATCAGTGTGTCTTGGTTAGAAATTTTCAGTTAGCTCCTGGAAGTTGGATTTGTTGCTCCAGGCTGTGGGTTGGGTCATGGTACACTCATTCTGTCTCCCATTCTTCATCTCTCAGCTATGCAGGGCAAGCTTCCCATGGCAGATGGCAGAATGAGGATGTGTGAGCAGCAAGTGGAGACATGCAGAGCTCAAAGGCCTCAGCTCTGCACGGGCATATTGTCACTTCAACACACATTCCTTAGCCCAAAGCCAGCCACAGAGGCAGACAAGCCCGATTTCAGTGGGTGGAGGCAGTGTTCTTCCTGGCCTTGTATAAGGTGTTGGTTACTAAGGACATAGATTCAGGCAAAAGAATCTACAGACAGACCAAGAGAGAAACACAAGGATAATTTTATTGGCATTTGCAATTAAAATACAACAGGGCAGGCCGCTATTTGGATAGAGATGGCTAAGAGGAAGAAAGTCAAGTTTTCTAAGTTAGAGGCCAAAAAAGCAGTGGGCACAGCAATGGCAGTCTGTCAACCTCTCTCTCCCTCTCTCCCTCTCTCCCTCTCTCCCTCTCTCCCTCTCTCCCTCTCTCCCTCTCTCCCTCTCTCTCTCTCTCTCTCTCTCTCTCTCTCTCTCTCTCTCTCTCTGTGTGTGTGTGTGTGTTTCAGAGATAAGAGGGCACTCAGCAGCTGGGTAAGGATGGTTAGGTCATGCTCACAGTAAGGTGACTGAAGAAAATGAAGCTCAAAGTCATGCTCCTGAGCTAGAACTCAGGAATTGGGTTGTCTCCACTGAAGATCATAGCTGCTGCAGCGGAGGAGGAGGGGCTTCTGGGGTGTGTGAGTCCCCATCTCATTAAGGGGACAGCTACTCCTCTCATCTACCATATCTTTAGATGCACCAAGTTACTTGATGTTTCTGGAACTGGGGGATGCTTTCCTATCCTGATGACTCTTGGCTCATTTGGCTCATTTGCTTAATAAAGATGTATTTTTGTTGTTTTTAGTTGGGTGTGTTTGTGTGTGTGTGACACACACACACACACAGAGAGAGAGAGAGAGAGAGAGAGAGAGAGAGAGAGAGAGAGAGAGAGAGAATGTGTACACGAATATGAATATAGGTGTCCACAGAGGCAAGAGGCCCTGGATCACCTGGAGCTGGAGTTTGGGGAGGTTCTAAGCTGTCCTGTATGGGTACTAGGAAATAAACAATACACTCAGGTCCCTGCGTGCAGTGTAGTGCACACTCGAACTACTAAGTCATCACTCCAGTCCCCCTGGGGTCAACTATTTGTTTGTTTTATCAGACAAGTTCTGTCTATGTAGCCCTGACTGGCCTGAAACTCAGCATGTACACTATGCTGGTCTTGAACTCACAGGGATCCAGCTGCCTCTGCCAGAATGCTGGGGCTGTTGGCACAGCATGCACCACCATAACAGGTCTCTTTTTCTCTTCAAGCAGAGGGAACATAGATTTATTAAGAAAACATTAGATAAAACAAAAAATCTCAAAAATGGGAGAGGCTCTAATGGAGGAGAAATACCTAGAAAAGTCTCTCTCTCTCTCTCTCTCTCTCTCTCTCTCTCTCTCTCTCTCTCTCTCTCTCTCTGTCTGTCTGTCTCTCTCTCCCTCCCTCCCTCCCTCCCTCCTCCTTCCCCTTCCCTTCCCTCTCTCCCCTGCTTGGGGAAAAAACTCCACTAGTGACTATTTCCATTCGGAATGCTCTGACACTGAATGTGTGGATATTACCTGCTTCTGGCATCAGAGGGCTGTACCACACTTCAGTTCTGATGCAACAGATCCTTCACCAGTGCTGGGGAGCAAACCAAGGGCACCGAGTGACAAGTTAGGCAAACCCTCTACCACTGAGCTACGTCCTTGCCCGAGTCCTGTGCTAATTACCTTGATTCAGCACAGATGCCAGGCTAAGAGCTCGGTACCACAAGCCTCCTCCCTCTCTTCAAACGACAATCACAGGCCTAATGTACATCTGGATTCTGGCCAACCAGCTATAAATTGTGGGTTCCTGCAACCCGCTTTTCAGGGTTAGTAATTCCTTAGAAGAGCTCACAGACTCCAGGAAAGCAGCTTTGTCACTGTGTCCTGTTGTGACAAAGACCCTGACAGAAGCCACTTGAGGAAGGAGATGCCACAGCCCTTGGTGTGGAAGAAGGCCTGGTGGCCGCAGAGGCTCCGCCTACTGCAGCAGGAACTTGCAGTGTGGTTACACATCCTGGCGGGTCTGGAAGCTGAGAGCTCGACCCGAACTGGACAGTAGCCCACCTCCACCAGTGAAGTGCTATGTCTCAAAGGTCCCGTAACCGTCCAGAATCACACCACCACTTGGGGAGGTCAAAGTGAGCCTGTGGGAGACGTCTCCCATTCAAACATAGCATTCACTCCAAAACAGCCAAATTGAAGTGGTACAGGACAAGGTGAGAGGGCATGAGGAGCAAGGAGCTTTCACAGTCCCTTTCCCAGCACGCCACCCTCCAAGCCACCCCCATATGTTCTCCAAATCCCAGTACTGGGGGAGGGGGCAGGTGTGGAGACCCTACTACACAGACATGACTTATTTTATCCTTGGCCTTTGGTGATGATATTTGATCCCCACTCCCCACCCTCCACCTTCGAGGTTGGAGGTTGAGACTGAGAATCCCAGCCTTCTAACACATGGTTGACCCATCCCCAAAGCTATGCAGGTACCCACTGGGTCAGTCATGTTCTCAACATAAGCTAGGATGTGGCTAAAGGAAGCATGCCATGAACATCAAAAGATGTCCCTCTTATCCCACCACTGAATGATGCAAGGTTGGTTCAACACACAAAACCAATAAAAATAAATCATACAGACTTAAAGACAAAACTGACATGATCATCTCAGTAGCTGCACAAAAAGCCTTTGACAAAATCCAACAGGCTTTCACAGTAACAGTCTGAGAGAGGCTAGGACCGGAAGGAACATACCTCAACATAATAAAAGCTCATGGCAAACCCATAGCTAACGTTATCCTAACTGGGGAAAAATTCAAAACTATCCTATTAAAATCTGGGATGAGGCATGGCTGTCCTCTCTTCCTGGGGTCTGAGAGTTTCTGAAACTGTGCCTAGAATTGGGAACCAAGTCCAAAGCTGCGTCTCCCACAGAATCACAATTACTGTTCCACATGGTGAGCATAGTGTTTGCTGCCACAAGGTTTTGACCGAGTCAGTACACCCAGACCAACAGGATGAGGTTGTCTGCAGGGCCCACGAGTTCCCACTTCCCACCACTTCCCCATGTGTCCGTGCGATCCAGAGACACCAAAGCACACTCTGTCCCCCAGACTGGACCTTCCCTTTCGGGCACTGAGAAATTTATCTCAGTCTCAATTCTGTCTCTCATGACTCCACTGATCAACTAATTCTTCTAAACAACGGGCCCCAGAATCTGCATTTTACAGTGGTGGCTCGTGGGCTCGGTCTGCCTCTCTCCAGTTTCAGTCTCTTGGAGAACTTGTGTGGTTGTCACCCTCCTTTGTCTCTGTCCCTTCTTTCGCCTCGAGTCCCCTGGCCTGTAGGATAGAGAGCTCTTTGAATCCCAGGGGAGATGTCACCTGCACCATGGGACTGCCTCAGGTTTCTGTGTCAGCCCCACCCTTCCTTCCTCCTACTCCTTTGCAACCCCCCCCCCCCCAGAAGCTATAGGATGTTAACCGGCCCTGTGTACTCGGTTGAAATTAGCCAAAGAATTTTGCATTTAAAGAGAACTTCCCTTGTTGTGTCAAATAGAATCCGAGCAGTGCGATTTGGATTCTAGGGTTGCTTTCTATTTCTCTGTAGAAATCTTCTGCTTACTAAGCAAACTCCATTTGGGCTTACTTTAGGAGAAAGGGAGATTTCAGCTCATGGCTTGCAGAAGGTGTTCTATTGTGTTAGGCAGAGGAGAACGGGGAGAAGACTCCCACACTTGAATACTGAAGGAAGGAAATGAGGCAATTCCTGCCTTGGGGAAGTATATCTAACAGTTGTGCACCCAGCTGTGGGAGTGAAAACAATGGGGGGGGGATGATGAACTGGAGTGCTGAAGCCACAGTGTGCATTTTCCAGAGAGAGGGAGACTGGCCCATCCCTATTGCTTTTTCATTCTCTGTCTGGAAATGTTGCTCTGGGGACCCTGACTGCGTGGGAGGGGGGTGACTGCATGGGAGGTGACCCTGACCGCGTGGGGGGTGGGTGCTCCAGGGAGTATTTTATGCAGAAAATCATTAGCTTCCTTGATGATCAGAAGGCTGTTCTGAATGAATGAGGAGCAATCATGGCTTCCCCAGGAATGGAAACATACCCTTTCTAGTCTGAGAGTTTACTTTCTGGAAGTTACCAACCCTGCAACTCAATAAGATGTCTATCATCACACTTAAAGAAACACTTCATCAATTTTTTTCTCCAAAAGAGAAGTCTGTTGGCATTATGTTCAGTTTATTGTCTCTTTAATAAAATATATGCAATATCGTCAAATGATGAATAAAATGAAGCTGTCCCTAGTCCAGCAGACAGAACTGAAGTAGCAGTCGATTTAATTAGGCAAACAGGGCATGCCAATGGGGTGTCCTGGAGCCTTGTAAAATATAATGAAGAGAAAGCAATTCTATCTAGCCTGTATTTACAAGTGTGGGAGTTACACAATTGCTACATAAATATTCATCGAGATTCTTGAGTGGAACCAGGTACGAATGAAATAAGAGAAGTCAAACATCAGATTCACGTCCCAAAGAGGACAAGGAGCTAGCCCCTCCTCCTGCGCGTCATTGCACATCCCAGATCTCACAGAGGAGCGGGGTGAACTTGTGATCATTCACCCTCCAGGACATCAGCATCTCTGCGTGGTGATGGTTGAAGGTCCGAAGTTCCGTCAAGCGACCCAGGAGACAGGCAAAATGCTGAGGGTTCTCGGGCTGGTAAATCTTGCACAGCTTCTGCAGTACCTCAAGCAGCGGCTCCTGAAGCCTCTCCACCGCCTCCCTATCCTTTATGTATTGCCTGTCTGTTTGAAGGTTTGAAATAGCATAGCAAGGTAAGACGTGAAAGACACCAATTTGACATAATTATGGCAATGTCTAAGCTTTTAAAACTGCTTATACATGTTGTACGCTTAAATGTGCAAAATTTTCAATGTAGTAAAGGTACATGCACGTACGCACATATGCATACATACATGCATGTACATACAATGGACTTATATGTAAACCAAGATATGGAGCATCAAATGTTCCCAGAAGTTCCCCTAAACCCCCTTCCTAATCATTGTTCTTGAAGGAAATCCACATGACAGATGTAAACATTCTGTCTCTGGGGACAACCCCAGACTTCCCGGGCCATGGGGATCAACATGTGTAAATCTAAGAGGCTCTGCCAAGCAGAATTTTTTTCCACTCACAATTATTAGTGTCCAAAGAGTAGCAACTAGCACCTGTCTAATTATCACAGATGAAAATAATTTAAGGCTAGCATAATATGTTTTTACAAACTATGCACACACTATTATTTGCACCCAAATTGTTAAAGTTAGTTTTGAAAATACATTTTATACAGGGAGATATTTATTTCTACATTTTTTTAAAACAAGAAAATTGGAAGCATACAACTGTACAGACGAAGGGATGATTAAGTATGTCTTTGTAGAGTTATGAAATGGAGCATAATGCATACCTGTTACCAAAAGTCTTGTAAAGGATGTGATCTTTACTATATTACAATGTGTATGATTTCTTTGCTGTCCCTGCTCAAGTGTCAGTCTCACCCCAGGGAGACTCTTCCCTAACAACTTAATGAGCATGCCATCCATTCTTTTCTCACCTCCTTCCCAAATATTCTCATTGCTATAATATTTGTGAGATGAATTCTCACTTTGTAGCCCAGGCTAGGCTCAAGTTTGTACTCCTCCTCCATCAGCTCTCAGACCTGGAAATTACAGGTTTGGGTCACTGTGTCTGTCTATTATTATTATGTATTTTGTAGAATTTTCCACTTGCTGGAAAAAATGGGTCGTTTTCCTCATTGTTTGAGAGCACTAGTCTCATAGAAGTGGCATCTAACTTACTCCTAAAGTCTAGAGCCATATTCACTGTGTAGGAGGTGTTCAATAGGCAGTTACTGACACTGTGATGGTTATAGTCAAAAATACTGCAAAGTGTATGAAATATTAATAATATTCTATTTGAGTGGTAGGATTATGGACCATTTTACTTCATACGTCTCTGTGTTTTCTTTAATTCACATTGTTATGACATTGCCGAGAAGGAGGCGAGCAGTATAAAAACCCAAATGTAATAGTAAAATTACCTGGAGAGAGGATGACGATGCCCGTCAGCAGAGCGTACTCTTCCTGAGTCATTTTCAGCTCCCCAATACTTTTATAAAAACTGAACATCGGAGTTATGTACTCAGCAGAGATGCCTGTGTGGGAGTCGAAAAACACAGTTACAACACAAGGCTTTTAATTTTAGTTAGTACTTGTGCGGTGAGTGTGTGTGTGTGTGTGTGTGGTGAGTGTGTGTGTGTGGTAAGTGTGTGTGTGGTGAGTGAGTGTGTGTGTGTGAGTGGTGAGTGTGTGTGAGTGTGGGGGGTGCGCGTGCGTGCACATGCACACACGTTTGCAAGGTGAGGTCAGGGCACGTCTTTGTGGAGCTGGTCCTCTCCTTCCCTTGGATTCTAGTGACAAAATGCATGTCACCAGGCTTTGTAGCAAGCACCTTCACCTTCAGAGTCATCTCACCAACCCAACGAAAATCATGAGTAGCTTCAAAGTGCAAAGCTGGAAACACACACAACCACATTTACCCCCAAGCCACACACATTCATGCAATGATAGTCCATTATACATCTCAGCCAAAGACGGAGCGTGGAAGGGAGATCAACGAGCAAAACCTTCAAGGACAGCCTCATGACTGATGCACTTGTCTTTGAATTCAGTACTGTCTTTGGCCAAGTGTGCAACAATAAATGATAATGCTCTTGGACTAGAAATAATTCCTAGAATGGCACCATTTTCTCAGACAGAGAGCAATCTTAACAATGAACACAGCAGAGTTGTGTTTCAATTCAGACGAATAAGCAATTACACTGAATAAGTTGATCAGAGTTGAATGGGTTTGGACCTACCTGACAAACCATTTCCTACCATGCACTAATCAGTATGGGGCCACTCTTTACAAACTCAGGACATCAAATACGACGAATACCAGGTGGGGACCAAGCCTCCCAACTTTCTCCAAACCCAGTCCCTTCCTGATGTCTCCGTTCTCGGTAATGACTGTTCTTGCCACACACGTGTCTGCGCTGGCAGCTGAGATTTCTGGTGTGTGACCTGCGATCTAACCACTCCTCCTCCCTCCCTGTTGCCCTGCCTCTAGTTTCAACCACCATCTCTCATTATCTGGAGCACAAGGATCGCTTCCTCATTCCTGCCTTGTTTACTCTTCTGCAATCCACATACCAGAGTAATCCCCTCTGAACTTCAAATCACACATGTTCTCCTCACTTCTTACACAGCTTCAAAGCCTTCCTATGGCTCCTGCAGTTCGTGTACCTTTCTTTTAAATGGGACCTCTGCCCCTCTGGAGTCTGTATTCACCGAATCCTCGCTGTGCACTGCGCTCTGGGGTAGGTACTTCTTGGCCACTCCTTTCAAACCCAATGTGTCAAATATCAAAAGTAAGAATCAGGTAAGAGCCAAGTCCTCAGTTGGGTGGTGGTGGCGGCACACGCCTTTAATACCAGCACTCGGGAGGCAGAGGCAGGAGGATCTCTGTGAGTTAAAGGCCAGCCTGGCCTGTAGAGTTCCAGGACAGCCAGGGCTACACAGAGAAACCCTGCCTTGAAGAAAGCAAGGAGGGAGAGAGGGAGGGAGGGAGGGAGGGAGGGAGGGAGGGAGGGAGGGAGGGAGGGAGGGAGGGAGGGAGGGAGGCAGGAAGGAAGGGAAGAACATCAAACTCAACCACCTGCCTCTAAATCCACCGCTTTCCTGCTCTTTGTTCATTAAACTTTCTAAAATCCCACAAGTCCAGTGGTTCAGAGCCTTCCTGATACTGTAACCCTTTAACACAGTTATTCATGCTGTGGTGACCCCCCCAACCATAAAATCATTTCGTTGCTGCTTCCTAACTGCAATTTTGTTACTGTTATGAATCGTAATGTAAACATCTGATATTCAGGATGTCTGATATGTGACCCCTTGTGGGGGTCATAACTCATGTGTTGAGAACCCCTACACTACCTACCTACAGGAAAGGCAGTAACTGTCCCAAAGAGACACAGCTAGTGAGAGGTAGTACAGGACTCAAAGTTGCTAGGCTTTGACTCAGTTTCCCCTGCCTTCCTACCAGCTTCCCTCCAGCCAGGTTCAGCCACCTCAGTCCCCCTCAGCAGTTCAGTCTCTGTATACACATGACAGTCACTGCTTGGCATACCTTCATTCCCTTTCAACTTCTTTATTCTTGTTTGTAATTTAAGACTTCTTGGTTCATTTTTTCCTACTTACTCAAAAAATTAATTTGGAGCTTGCTGTATGCATGGTTTTATTCCAGAGGAGTATGGGCTAAGAAACCAAAGAGACAGGGGAGAAGGGGCCATGACTTGCTGATGAATAGAGAGGAGGATGGGTGTCCAGATTGTTCCATGTGAGAATCTACTGTTTTCTTCCTTCCTACTCCATATTTAGAGCCACAGAATTCTGGCTGAACCAAATGAGGATACAGTTGGATTCCCGATGCTCAAGATTTCAACTCTCAACCGATGGTACACCTTATAGGAAGTCAGTTTGTCAGCAAGCCAAATCCTCACCTTAAGAAGAGTTTGAAGTCTCTTCAGAACTGAGCCTTGGGCCTTTCCCAGCCACTCAACACAGTGCAATCCTCTCCCCACAACCCTGCACCTTTGTTCCGACTCCAGTGGGTTCTCTCAACAGCAGAGTCTTTGTTTAGCAAGAGGGTGATTACATCGCATGGAAGAGGGCCCTTCCCCAGCTGCTGCAGAACCGAGTTGAATGCCCAACACCAAACAAGATAGAGCTTCGAAGGACTGGGGCTTGAGCCTGGGAATGCTGCTCACTGGTTCCAGCACAGGGTTAGAGGTTGTGACTTTGAAATCTGAGTCCCTGATATGGCCTTGAACACATTAAAACTTTTGAAGCCACAGTTTTGTTATCTGTGAGGTGTGGATTGCACAATGATAGATTACATAAGATAGACCTGCCTCACAGTAAGACCTGAGTGGTGAGGCAGCCCTGTACCACCAATTAACTGGGAGGCTGAGGGAGAAAGAGCTGCCTACGCTACAGAGACAGCAACTACGAGACCTGCAATCCACAGAGACCCACAGTGGTCACAGCGCAGAGTGACTGTGGTGAGCCCAGGCAAGGGCGGTACATCTGCAACACTACCCTACACCTAAGGCTCAGAGAAGTCACAGGAGCCAGAGGACCAGAGCACCAGCTTGTGACATGTCTTCTAGATACAGCAGGGCGCTGCCCCCATGAAATCTCAACAACATGGCTGCCTGCATGAGATCCCATAGAAACCACACCAATGAACACGCCAGCACAGACGTGGATGAAGAGTTGTGGGTGAGAGGGAGAACCCGTTTTCTCCAGGATGAGCCCCCTCCCCCCTCCCCCCCCAGAGAGGCTATCTAATCCCAAGTGCTTTGTGTCAGACCCATGCACACAGGAGCAATACCGAGTGAACACAGTAGATTTTAAAGGTGAGGTCTTGAATTCACGGGTGGTCAGGAGCACGGGAGGAGTTAGAGAGGGGAAGGAGGGAGAACTGGTGTCAGAAAACTTAAATAATAAAAATCAACTTCAAAGCAGTAAAAATACAGCTTGGGAAAGTACTTTGCAAAGAGTATACTATTTACCATTATCATACAGATTAATTGCATCAAAAAAAACTCTTGTCATAATCTCAGTCCATTTTAGTCTAGATCAAATTTGTATTCTTCTGCCTTTACAAAACTGTATTTTTTTTCTTAATTTCTTGGGGGTGGGGGAGTGCTGGTGCCACAGTGCCCATGGGAAGTGCCGAAGACATGGGACTTGGTTCTTTCCACCATGTGCGTCCTAAGGGTCAGACTCAGACCATCAGGCTCACAGCAAGAGCCTTTGCCTGCTGAGCCATTTTGCCAGGCCAATAGTATGTGTGTGTGTGTGAATGTGAGTGTGTGTATGTATGTGTGTGTATGTGTGTGCCTGTGTGTGTGTGTGTGTATGTGTGTGCATGTGTGTATTTAAAACAAAACATCTTTTAGTTTTTGTTCTTTTGAGACAGGGGCTCTCTACACAGCCCTACCTGTCCTGAAATGCACTATGTAAACCAGGCTGACCTCTGCCTCCTAAGTGTAGGAATTAGAGGCATGTGCCACACACCAGGCTGAAAAATCATTTTACTTTTTACCTGGGATGAATACAACTTGTCTGGTCAGTGAATTGCCTTGACATTTTTCCAGACATTAAAGCAAAACAAAGGTTTGTAACTTTTTTTCCCACTATGTTCTTTTCAGCTTCAAAACTTAGCACTCTTAGCTGTAAGTGGAGGTGCAGGCCTCTAATCCTAGCACTTGAGAGATTGAGGTAGGAAGATGCTGAGGCCAGTGGGCAGCCCGAGGCACACAGCACCCTGTAGAAAATCAAGAAAGGCTGTTTTCACGCCTCTTCCATGTTCAGCGTCCGTACCCATCAGAAGAAATCAGGTAACATCACGACCGTGCCACGGTTTTGTTTTGTTTTTGTTTTTAAAAAGGAACCTCAATAAATTCATTGGTCTGACTACTAAAATAATCTGTTTCTAGCCAAATTATATTCATGTTTTTCCCAGTGTGTGTGCAGTGCGTGTCTCCAATGCCAGCATCCGCATGTGTCATTAAAGAGACCAAAGGCCACAGAAGGGAGTGTCACAGAAGGGCATGCCATATATATGTGTTTGTTAGAGAATCACTCATTTTGTTTGCTGGTAACCACACACACTTTGGTTCATTTTGACTGACTCGGCTGTGTGAGTGAGCAATTGCGTTTTTATTATTTTGAATTGGTGACTTATTTATGAATGGCTGACTCGTCCCAAGCAGTCGCTTTTGAGAGGTACTGATCTGTGAACAGATCTCTCGTGAAGCGTGTGTAACTAGCTTCCTTGGAGCTTGTAGCAAGAGGGCAAATGCCTAGACAGAAGACCAGAAGAACCCTTGGTTGTGAGTCATAAAAATATCATTACATCTGTCTGTCTTATGTGTGTATGTACATATGTATGCCTCGGTGCACACGTGGGGGTCAGAGGACAGCTCCTAGGTGTGGGTCCCTGGGACAGAACTCAGATGACTTTTTGGCAAGCATCTTCACCATCCACTGGCCCAGAACCATAACTTTATATGCCATGGGGTTTAGAGCATACCTAAATCAACTTATCTGAAAATGGCCAATATTCAGGATTCATCTTTGATTGCCAAATTTCCTAGTTCACTTATCCTTATAAATCCTCACCCTCCAAAGATATTGCCTTCTTTAGCTAATTTTAGTCGATGACGTTTGGGGAAAAAATAAATTAAAATGCTTACTAATCGTTTTACTTTGTACATGTTGCAGTAGCCAGGGGTATAGAAAAATGTAGCAAATAGGTAATAGGTGAGTTTTAAACATTAATTTTCTTACAAGACAGATCAAGTGTAAGCCAGAGTCAGCACCATTGCTAATGACAGTAGCGTAAACAATAAAAGTAATGTAAACAATGAAACTATAAAAGCCTAATGACAGCATCATCCTGAAGGGGGCAGCCCTTTCCCATTTTCCAGCTTCCCTCTTCCTAACGCTGAAATTTGTTCCATTTTTTACTTAGAACCAGATGGCTCAACGTTGACCACAAGAGGGCACTATTTTCTAACTCAACCATTAGACAATGCCCTGGAAAAGTTTGAGTTGTAAAAAGAAAAATGGTTTATTTCTGCACCTCTGTTTCTTGATTTCTCTTACAGGGGCGCCTCTGTGATTGGTGAATTGGTTATTCAAGGATGAGAAATACCATCTGAAAGAATAACCCTTACCAAAACACCACTGTGCTTTGCTTCTCTTTGTTTTGTGTTCTGAGGGTGCTAGGGATTAAATCCAAGTGCTAGACAAGTGCTGGACCCCTGATCTCTTTAAAATGTGTCCTTTCGTACCTGGCTAACTTCCTAGTACTGATCAGGGATTAAAAACAGGCGGTATATGCCGGGCGGTGGTGGCGCACGCCTTTAATCCCAGCACTCGGGAGGTAGAAGCAGGAGGATTTCTGTGAGTTCGAGGCCGAGCTGGACCAATAGCCTCCAAAACAATACAGAGAAACCCTGTCTCGTAAAAACCAAAAAAAAAAAAAAAAAAAAAAAAAGAAAAACAGGCGGTATCTTTGGGTGTGGGGAGATAAATATTGTATGTAAGTATCATGTAAGCCACATTTTACAGTACTCTTAATGACCTCAGGATAAACTGGGAATCTTGTTTTAAATGATACTATTTGCTCAAAACCATGTAATTTTAATTTTTATCAGAAATGACACCATTCCAGAAGCACAGCAGTTACATACACCCCTGAACGTAGCATCCGAGCCTGTGTGTGCCTTCAAGTTTCTTTTCACATGAGGTCTCCCCTACCCCAGTGTTCTCCTGATGAATGAATGACAACTCCTCTAGGATCCTAAAGTTTAGTTTGCTCCAGACCAAGATGCGGCCACTGTTGGTCTCATTACCATAGCAGAGGCAGCATCCAGAGAGGACAGCACAAGTCTGCCTACTCCCTCTTAGAGATTTCCACTCTCAGAGGTGATGCTCACAGGCTCTGGCCATTAAGTAGAAGAACGTGCCTGGGGTTAAAACCAACACACACAGAAAGACCAAGAAGATAGAAGCTGTGTTTCTCAGTGTGCTGAGCCCTGAAAGTGACCATTTCTGCTGCTGCCCCTTCTGGTTTTTAATTTGAGTAACATGTCCCCCTACCTTTAAAAAATGTTACCTGGGGACCAACTTCGGGACTTTGGCACATGACTGACAATCATTCAACGACTGAGTCATATCCCTAGTACTCATTTCCTTACTTTAAAAAATTTGGGGTGAGGGGGGCATCTGTGTAGGCCAGAGGTCAACACTGGCTCTCTCCCTTATCACTGGGCCAGCAGCCCATGGATTTGGAAAGATGAGCTAGCAAACATGCTCCCCTGCACTGGGGTCCCAGGCATATGTCCCCAGCTTTTAACACGGATGCTCAGCTCAGGTCTTTGTGCTAGCACAACAGGCACTGTACTGACAGAGTGTCTGCTCACTCCTCGTTTCCTTCGCGTTTAAGGTCTCGTCCCTCTGGGTCTTCTGTGACCTTCATCCAAGATCACTCTAGCCGACAGTGTCTCTAACAGATGACACATGCCGCTTGTCTTCAGGGTCTCTTCCCCGGTTTAATAGAGGCACTGCACCCGTGTTCAAATGCTGCTCTCCCCGTCACAGGGAATTCTTCTCCGAACTCAATTTCAGCACACCTATCCAAAGCATAGCTTCTCTTCTCACTGCGGTATGAAAACTAAACACAAATGTATGAGGGAAAAAGTGGTGACTACATCTCCATGCAGCCTTGTCTAGGATGGCTGCCCCACAGGTGGCCCTCATTACCTCAGAAGTGTATCTCTAATAATTGGCCTCCTGATGGAGACACAGAAATTCATACATTTTTGATCAGTTAGACACTGTTATGTTTTCCTAGTTCCGCGGGACAAAGGTGACGTAGCTATAAAGTGTAAGAGAGGTAAAAGATGTCGTTAGGCCACTGAGACGGCTCAGGTGAAGGCACTTGCTGCACAGACAACCTGAGTTTGACTACTGGAACCTACGTAAGGGTGGAAGGAGAGAACCAACTCCAAAAAATGTCTTGGACCTCCACACATGCACTGTAGCTTTACAATCACAAAGATAACATACACGTACAATAATAATTAATATAATTTTATAAGACTATTAAAGCATTCTTATAATACTAAGATATGGTTTATTGCTAAGCTCTTGTCAAGTGAGTCATTTGTGCCTTGACTACTGGCTTTGATTTTAAAAAAGCTTCAATTAGTTTAAAAATAAAAAATGGTTAATTAAAAATATTACGTCTTGCATTAGTCCTAGTAGCAAGCATGTATTTGCTCAAATTAAATCTTACTGACAGTTAGGACTTGCCAGAGTTTGGATGGACTGCCAGGTTTCCGACTGAACTCAACAATGGGCATCACAATAGGGCCAGGACAACAAGGTCTCAAGCAATTAACGGATCAACAGAAGAGGCAGATACAGAACACCCAAGTTCTAGCAAGCACGAACTGCCCAGAAATACTGACTCTTAAAATACTTCAGTACGTCCTCATGTGAAGAAAATGTTTTCTATTACTCAGCCTCAACTGGTCCCTGCCCAAATCAACACATGATCACTTTGAAAAGCAAAATTCGAGGTGGCAAGAGTGTAAGCTACCTTAAGCACTTGCCCATCTTATAAACGGTCTGCATTTAGAACTTTGCATTTTCAATCCTTTGAAAGACAATATTTGAACTCATCATTGGTTTACCTGTTTCTTGGGGGAAATATAGTTCCACTGTTTTCGTCTCGTGCATGTTTCAAAGGACAGAAAAGAGGCCTTGCACACTTTACTGCATACAGTAGCGCCTAGTGTAACACTATCAATAGCTACAAGTTCATCACCGTGATGTGAGTGTCTGGTTTCTCTGACCTTGTTGTCTGTAATCATTCACGGAGAAGTCACTTGAAGTCCTAGCTACTGCTTTATTTTATCTCCTTGCTGGAGGGCAACAATGTGTTTTACTGGGTTTTACCCTGACTGGCCAAAAGCTGGTAGATGTTAGGCCTTGGTAAATGACAGGCACAATATATAGGAAAAGCACAGGGCCTCCAAAATACCCGAACTCGTTTCCTAGGTGTCTGCTGATTAGTTGTGCAGCCTTGATACACAGAACATGGCTCCCACCCACAGAGGCCACTGAGAATGCTTACAAGACAATACAACAACAACAACAACGTTCAAAATCTTGAGATACACTGTCACCCTGACAAATACTTGCAGACTAGATATTAATTTATGTCTATTGTGGAAATAAAAAAAGACACCCCTAAAAGCCCTGTACATTTTAGGCTTTATTTAAATTTGAAACAAAGGAAACAAGTTGTTTTTTATTGTATGAGGTTATTGCTGCAGAGTGCCTTACTGTTGAAATGCACACTCTTTAAAGTTAGCAAGCCCATTGCAGTCCTCTCGTATTTTATAGTACTATATGATTATTCTTATTTCTATTAAAACTTTCAGGTTGGAAGTCTAGCTTGCATTGCAATGCCATATTAGGACTAAAACCATTGATACAATCAAATTGTATTGAAACAACTCCACCACCACAGACCTGTGTAAGTTCTGTAGCTTCAATTAACACAAATAAACACTAGCTCCCTTATATAACAACGTCTCAGGAAACAGTATCTTTGTGTATGTAACTTGGGTCTGATAATAGAAAGTATGAATCTGCAGAACAAGAAAATTAATTTTTACGCTGTATATTTTAGATTTCTATAGGCATCAACAGGGCAAATTTGAAAGACTGTGTTAGTCTAGAAATAATATATAATAGAAATGGGAGCTACTACATTAGCATAAGAATAAAAAGTTATTCTTAAAGGTCATCTTGCAAAATTAGGTTTTGATTTGACATGTGGATGAGACAATGTTCTGAAAATCCCTTGGGAGTAAGGGACTCATGAATATTAATAAATGGAAGAAACACCATTGTAGATAATAAAATAGGAAGCAGCATGTGAGTTTGGATGGTTTTCACTGTCACAAAACAGCTTGGTATTTGGAGACAGTTTCTTATTATAAACTAGAGACATGCATATTTATTGGCATAGATTATATTTTGGAAAACTATTACCATACTTTCATGAAACTTGAAAAACCACAGTTCTGAAACTTACAATGTTATAAGTAAAGGGTTTTTTTAGACTTTGACACCTATTTAACCTGAAAGAGCTTCATCGTTCCTCACTTAGATATTCCATTTGCTTCTGTATGTATCTCCTGGTTTCTGCTCAGTCCCTGAAACTCTGCATCTCCATTATAGCCAGGAGGACCTTTCTGTGGCAGAACTAAGATCATGATGTACCTGTTCAGAATATTATTAAGGCTGTCCATTGCACTGGTGTTAAACTACTTCTGTGGTATTCAGTGTCCTTAATAGTCTAATGCATTTTCGGCTTCATGAATAATACTTTCTGAAACAGCAGGCACTTGTGAATGCTGGACATAGAAACACCCTGGTTTTGCCATCTGCTGTGCCTATACTACTATGTCCCCACTTTCACAGCTTGACACATTCCTAACCATCCCTTGTGAGTTACTGGTCAACTTCTGAGACTATCAAATGCACTTTGTGCAGCTCCCCTGTCTCTTGTAGACCTAATGCTAACACTTTCCCTTGAGATACTAATTAAGCTAATAAGTCAGTGGCTACATGACAATAATGTATCTTTTGCAAATATGCTCTGTTAAACTCTAACATGGCAGTTATACCTTAAGGTTTGTGAAATATAAGTAAGGGTTTTGAAAATAACTCAATTTTTAACTAAGAAAACACTATCACTTCAATAAGGCATTTTAAAATGATAATCATTAATTTAGACACATATATGTGTATAATACAAATGCTTATCTCCTTTTGTTCGCTATTCTAGAATAACGGTTTTAGAACCCTTCAACCTTGTTCAGTCATGCACGGAATAAGATCTTTAGGGTCATCTCATGTCATCCAATCCCATTCCCCAGCCCATAGTAAAATAAAACATCTTATTTTAAGGAGCCCCCAAGAAAAATTGAACAAATTTATGGAAATTCATCCCAGTGTCTCTTGGCATTCTCTGCCATAGCATCACTCCACAATAAGTTAAGCTGAATTATGCACAGTACTATTTAATTTTGCCTCTTAATGAGTAGTGTAGTATATTGATTTAAATGTACAGCATTAGCTGGGGATATAGCTCAGTAGAAGACCAAATGCCCATCACATGCAATACCCTATTCAATTCCAATCATTGAAAATACAGTTAAAACGGCATATGGCTTTGGAGATCTGAATAGCTCTTTCTTGGCTTCCTGGTCTGTATAGTGGGGATGATATTAGAACTGATTTCATAGGATTTTAGGCTTCATCTAAATCCTATGTAAATTATTCTGAACAATGTCTGGCATCAGTATGTGATACATAAGTACTGATTATAATTGTTTCTTGTTTTATTTTGAATAGGATGGATAATAGCTTGATACTATTCTCTTATACCTATAGACTGGGAATAAGTGAGACTTTTTTGAACTGGATAAACACAGTTCTGTTGTACTATTTTCAATGAGATGAACTTTTTAATATTTCAAAAATCTTCTTCTGATCCTTCATCTTAGTTCAGAGAATAATATAATATTTGCTGTTACCAAAAGGATTTTTGAGCCAAGACTCCCAAAGTTCCATCTATTTAATGTATAACTTTTAGAGCCATTCTCCATGCTAGACGCAGGGCCATGTAATGTCACCTGGTAGATAAGTATGTGCACAAATTTTACTCAGATTAACACTCTATCACTCACCACTGTTTCGAATTCTTTCTTCCAACAGATCTGCATGTCCGGCAGGAAGTTTCTTATTAAAAATCTCTGCAGAGCGGAGGAACATGGCTTCAACTGCAGACCCTTTCAGCAATGCGATCTGATCCTCATGGTCCAATGTCTGAAACCCTAAGGAGATAATCAAACAAGATCAAGGGGTTGTGTTTGTCCAACAGTATTTCACACTGTTTGTATAGGATAATATTGCACACACACTGTAAGATGTCATCATTGCCATCAGCCACGCCAATCAAGCATCTCCGTGGACAGATCCTGTAGTTGTTATAGTAGCTCTTCAAGTGGACTCAACTGACTACCTACTGAAGCCCCCAGGTTTGCTGCAGAAATGCAGTGAAAACAGATGCCAAGGCCAGAGCAAGTACACACATGACGGCAGAAACAGGCTGACTTACATGAAGCAACCCTCAGAAACGGCATGTAGGCAGATTCTCCCTGAGTGATTACTCTGGTCACCTCTGGCATGCAGGGTCAACTCAGAAAATAAAAGCATCCAGAGTCAGAAATAGTCTTTATGTGCCCCGAACATTGGGCTGGCTCTTGAGGCTTAGTTGGGATGTAGAGAATGAATAACATATCCTACCCTGCAAGTTCATTAGTGTCTCATCTTGAGGTATGTTTTCTACACAAAACTGAGGAAGAAGTATTAGTTTCAAGGGATAGAACACCATCTGGAAGACACAAAGTCCTCATCCAGGCTTTTAGAGAACCTCCCCGTCTCCCTTCTCCTCCCAAGGTCCTGGCTCTACTGAGATCTGAAAGTGTGCTATTGCCTCAGAGATGTCCTTCCCCATACCTGCCCCCCTCACAGGCATCAGCTATCTGCTGCAAGGCTGTTCTGTGGAAAGCCCCAAGCTCTCCCTTCATTTCTGCCCATAGAATCCACCACTGCCTGTCATGATACAACGGATTTACTTGCTTACACGTTGGCTGCTATCTGTGTTGGAATATAAACTTTTTAGAGCAGGAACTGTCTATTTTACTGACTTTTGTAACCTCAGTGCCTGACACATAATAGGTACCTCACATCATTTGTTGGGCAGCAGAATGAATGAGTAAATGAATGACGAAACCCCACAAATTTTTGTGCATACTGACAAACCAGAGAGAGTCAGAGACAGAGACACACACAGAGAGAGTTTGCAGCATCAGTGTCTGATGGCTTTGGAGAGGGTTAAACAGTAAAGGGAATTCAAAGACAGTAACGCTAAGGATTAACAGCCATGATCTGGGCCGGAGAGTTAGCTCAGTTGGCAGGATGACTGCCTAAACCTAGGTGAAGCCTGGGGTCCCACCCTCCCCTAGCACAACATAAAATTTAAAATTAGATGTGGGGGTACATGCCTGCAATCTCAGAACTTGTTATGTAGAAGCAAGGAGATCAGAAGTTCAAAGTCACCTTGTATTACATCGTGAGTGTGAGGTGTGTCTGGCCTGTGTGACACCTCATCTAAAAGAAAAGTCGCTATCTGGAGACCCTAAGGGCTCTGCACCAGACAGCACCACACTTTCTGCTTCGTGGGGCTCCAGCACCCTGGACAGTGTCTGACAGAGGCCACACTAAACAGAAAGACTAATTTTCCACAAAACACTTTCAATATCGGCATTATACTACCATTGCTGACATTTTTTTCCTTTAAAAAATTTAAATTAGAAACAAGCTTATTTTACATGTCAATTCCAGTTCCCTCTCCCTTCCCTGCCCCTCACCAGTCCCCTATCCCATCCCCTTTCTGCTCCCCAGAGAGGGTGAGGCCTTCCATGGGTGATCTTCAGTCTGTCAAATCATTTGGAGCAGGGCCTAGGCCCTCCCCCATGTGTCTAGGCTGAGAGAGTATCCCTCTATGTTGACTGGGCTCCCAAAGACCAGTCGTACACTAGTGATAAATAATGATCCACTTCCAGAGGCCCCATAGATTGCCCAGACCTCCTTACTGACATCCTCGTTCAGGGGATCTGGATCAGTCCTAGACTGGTTTCCCAGCTATCAGTCTAGGGTCCATGAGCTCCCCCTTGTTGAGGTCAGCTGTCTCAGTGGCCATTGCTGGTATTTGGAACACTATTTCTAAAATTGTAATTAGGGGGATTGACAAGTCTTTTGTTTTTTATTTCCCTTCTGTGTCTTATGATTTTCCCGTCTGCTTTATTTATTGGACTCACATTAATGGTGCTCTCCCTTAGCACCTGGCCCTGGGAATGAAGAGTTAAGATGATGCCATTGCTTTCAGAGAGCCACATCTGACATCCCTCTCATCACCCACTACTTCTCAGAGCCACAGCTGACCATTTGAACTGGAAAACATCTTCTCACCAATCATTTTTTAAAATGTCATTTTCATTTATTCTCCCCACAGTTTTTCTTTTTTGTGTGATCTTGGTTTTGAATCAAGTAGGTGTCACCTTAATTAGCATATAACAAATTAAGCTTCTTTTTCATTGTTAGTAAAGAAACAAGAGAATATTAAAGTCTCAATGATGGCGAGAACTCTCTCTCCACTTTTTTATGAGTTTCATTAAGCTAATGTCTATCTGTGACACATTTAATAAAAGAATAGCGTAATGCTGGCAAAAGGAAAGCAAATTAGCATGTCTAATTAAAAACCTATGTCAGAAGTTATCGTCTGTAATTTAATAAGTATTAGGCTGCTACTGAAGGTATTTATTACACTCTATACTATGAAATTGCAAATGCACTAATATTTTAAATTCTTTTGAGACAAATTTTACTAGGTAGCCCAGGCTAGCTTTGTTAATTTTTCCCCTCACTGAAACAATCACTTCTTAGACAGACTGATGATACAGATACACTGACGACACAGGTTGGGAAATGTGACTTGACCTCCAGTTTCTTTGCTGGAGAAGTTCATATGTTTAGCACATTAGGACACACCGTTTCCTTTACCTTACACATAGCGTTAATCAGCCCTATGGAAATTTGTATCTATCTTTCCTCCTCTCCCTTCTACTCTTATTACTTTGTTTTGAACCTCTTCCCTGGACTTCCCTAGTAGCAGACTAACTACTCCTCCTGCTTCTTGTCTCTTTCCACTCAAGTCCCCCTCATATAAAACTGATAAGGCTATCTGTCTGCAACCAAAAATTTCATCATTTCTTAAAACCTCTTTACCACCTGGGGGCAATGGCTTAATTCCATAGCTAGGCCCTCATTATACCTGGTGCCAATTTGCTTTACTATGTGATCAAAGAACATGCCAAAGACATTATTCTATAGCCACACTGAATTTCTTCTTCCATCGTGTGTGTGTGTGTGTGTGTGTGTGTGTGTGTGTACAGATTGGCATATTTGTTCATGTGTGCAGTTTTTGATTATCTGTGTATCTGTGCATGTGGGTGTGGCTTTGTGAAGGTCAGAGGTCAACAATGAGTGTCTTCTTCAAACACTCTCCATTTACTTTTGAGACCGACTCACTGTCTGTCTCAAGTCCTAGCCAGACAAGATCCCAAGATCCTCCTGTCTTTTCCTTCCCAAGTCTGGGGTTAGAGGAGCATAACACCAATGCCTGGCTGTTTAGATGGGTACTGGAGATCCAAAATCAGGTCCATGTCTTTGGTCTCTGCAGGTACCTGCACGCGCGCGCACACACACATGTAATAAAAATAAATCTTAAAAATATCTAACGGATATAATCCTTTCTGAAGGCTCTAATGTCTTCTTAAATTCAATTCTTCTCTGTTCAAGCACTGTGTGTATGTTTGTGTGCATGTGTGTATGTGTGTGTTTACATATAATACCCTTTTTAACTACCCTTCTTTAAGGGAATAGCCTTAATGTGGCTTCAACCACTTCTCGTTGAATAAGCAGATAAATGACAACTTTTCGAAGTCTTAGTTCTGACCTATTGATTTGGAAGATTTTCTTTCTGTCTTTTTTAAAAAGACAGGTTCTAATGTATACCAGGCTATGTCATATATACTTAATATGCAGCCAAGGATGACCCTAAACTTCCATTTCTCTTACTTGTATCTTCTAAGTGCCAGGATTTATAAGCATTTGCCATCAGGCCCAGTTTACACAGTGCTATGGATCAAACTCGGGGGTTCGTGCATGGTAACCAAATATTATACCAACTAGGCACAACTTCAGCCCAAGGAAGAATTATTATAAATGATTCTGAATGTGCTTTCCTCCTCTAACTTTTCATTCTATAGTAACTAGAAACACTAAGTTAGATAGGATTTTTGATTTTCTAGTGAGTTGAAACTCTCAACATTATAGGAAAACTGTACAATGTAGTCCAGTAATTGCTAATGGAAAAAACACCTAGGAAAAGAAATCATGACAATAGACCTAATCACATAAGAACACTTTAAGAACTGAACAAAATATTGTATGCAGAATGCTTAATATGGTCATGGCACATTTCACATAGTTCAAGAACATATTAATATTTATGATTTTAAAAAATACCTGGAAGCTTCTTTGTGAATTCTACAAGAACCTGTACGTGACTGGTAGCCATTTCTGTCAATATGAGAAAGTTTTCTTCTGCACTAAATTCTTCTTTTAACTAAATTTTAAGAAAAAAATAGTGATTAATAAATAGACAGGATTAGGATAACTCAATATCAAATCATTAAAGGAAAGCAACAGACTTAGTCAAATTTAAAGACCCAGATCATACTTCTCAGATCTTTGGAAATCAATTACTGTTTACAAGATAGATCTGTGACTTCTTTGTTTAATTGCTCAGAGACGATAAAAATTAGAACATATAACTTGAAGTCTCAATACAATTGCTTTGGGTAACACACACACACACACACACACACACACACACACACACATGCAAATCCGACTACCTTAAAGGTGCTAAGAGCTAATGCTGACTTTAAACACGTGGACTTTCAGATAGCATACTTACGATTTTATTTGTTATCTCCTGAGGCATTCTTTGTTTGCTATATGAATCTGTAATATAATCCAGAAGGTTCTGCTGATCTGGGGTGAGTTCAGTTTTCTCCTACACTGGCAAGAAAATGGAAGGTGTTAGGGAGAGTGGTTAAGGCATATTCCCATATGTACACTTATCTGAAATGAACTAATAGCAAAGGATTTTTCAAAGCCTTCAGAGCTATGGGCTTTCAGGCCTTGGAAAGTCAGTTTCTCT